CCTTTGCGTGCCCCTTTGCCTTCTCCTCCTGAGTCCTCTCTTCCTGCACTTACCGACCCAGAGTCGAACTCCCTTCGTGCTGCCAGTCCTACTGTCACGCGTCTCCTTGCTACTGTCTTCACTGACCCTTCCTTTGATTCCACTGCTGCGTCTGCTCTTGTTGCTGAGCTCGTCGACTTTGCTGCTTGCTGTCGTCTAGACTACGCTGCTAGTCTTGTTGCTGAGTCTGCGTCTATCTGTCCTCCGTCCGTCGGGGGTGAGTGTGCTCTTGGCACAGACGTCCTTGAGGACAGGCAAGAGGAGTTCCAGTGTCTGGCCGCCGCTTCACCTCATCTCGCGTCTGTACTGCTAGCCCCTGAGGGAGACCCGGATGCACCAGACATCCCGACTCCGCGTTCTTACGCGGAGGCGATAGAGGGTCCCTACTCCTCTCAGTGGCAGGCAGCTATGGATGCAGAGATGGCTTCCTGGAAGTCCACAGCACCTACGTTGACGCGGTTCCCCCTCCTGGGGCGAACATCTTCAGTGGCATGTGGATCTTCAGGGTGAAGCGGCCGCCTGGCTCTCCACCTGTCTTCAAGGCGCGGTACGTCGCTCGTGGCTTCAGTTAGCGGCAGAGAGTTGACTAGTTTCAGACCTTCTCTCCCACCCCGAAGATGACCACTCTTCGGGTACTGCTGCACATAGCCGCTCAGCGCGACTACGAGCTTCACTCTCTTGACTTCAGCACTGCTTTCTTGCAGGGCAGCCTGCACGAGGAGATCTGGCTGCGCCGTCCACCTGGCTTCACTGGGACTTTCCCTCCTGGCACCCAGTGGAGCCTCCGACGGCCAGTCTACGGTCTCCGCCAGGCACCGCGTCAGTGGCACGACACAATGAGGACTACACTTGCGGCTCTTGGGTTTGCTCCCTCTACTGCTGACCCGTCGTTGTTTCTGCGCACCGACACTTCTCTGCCGCCGTTCTACATCCTCGTGTACGTCGACGACTTGGTCTTTGCCACTGCTGACACTGCTGGACTCGCCTACGTGAAGTCCGAGCTGCAGAAGAGACACACGTGCACAGACCTGGGTGAACTGCGCAGCTACCTTGGCTTGCAGATCACTCGGGACAGAGCACGCCGCACCATTACCTTGACTCAGTCACACATGGTGCAGCAGGTCCTTAAGCGCTTCGGCTTCACGTACTCCTCGCCTCACGCCACTCCTCTGCCTACTCGCCACTCGCTCTCAGCTCTGCCTTCGGATGAGTCCGTAGAGTCGAGTGGCCCGTACCCAGAGCTTGTTGGCTGCCTCATGTACCTGATGACCTGCACACGACCTGACCTTGCATACCCTCTTAGCATTCTTGCACGCTATGTTGCTCCTGGGAGACACCGACCGGAGCACATGGCTGCAGCAAAGAGGGTGTTGCGCTACTTGTGCAGTACGTCGGGCATGGGGATTGTGCTTGGAGGGCAGAGTCCAGTGGTCCATACTGGGCACGCAGACGCTTCTTGGGCTGACGACCACGCTACGCAGCGGTCGTCACAGGGTTACACCTTCAGTCTTGGTTCCGGCTATGTTTCATAGCGGGCTACTCGCTCGTCTTTTGTTCTCGGCTCCACTTGTGAGACTGAGATCTACGCAGGAGCACATGGCTGCAGCGAAGAGGGTGTTGCGCTACTTGTGCAGTACGTCGGGCATGGGGCTAGTGCTTGGAGGGCGGAGTCCAGTGGTACTCACTGGCCACGCGGACGCTTCTTGGGCTGACGACCAGGCTACGCAGCGGTCGTCGCAGGGGTACACCTTCAGTCTTGGTTCTGGCTCTGTCTCATGGCGGGCTACTCGCTCGTCCTCTGTTCTCGGCTCCAGATGTGAGGCTGAGATCTACGCCGGGGCCATGGCTGCACAGGAGCTTTGCTGGCTCACCTACCTGCTGACTGACCTTGGAGAGCCGCCTCGTTTTCCTCTAGTGCTGTACGTAGACAACAAGGCCATGCTGGCCTTGTGTCGAGAGCAGCGCCTGGAGCACAGAACGAAGCACATTGCTCTCCGCTACTTCCTTGCTCGTGAGCTGCAGCAGCGTGGTCAATTGCGACTTGCGTACGTGGCCTCTGAGGCCAACACTGCTGATGTTTTCACCAAGGCACTTCCGCCTTGTGATCATCAGCGTTTCTGCACTCAGCTGGAACTTGTTCCGGTCTTGCCTCACTTACTTACCTCTTGACCTTGCTTGTACTCTTGCATATATATATACCTGCTCTTGCGTGTTTAGCTTTATACATATGTGTGTCTCCTCTTGCATGTAAACTGGCCTTGTGGCCTTGACCTTGTGCTCGAACTGTGTGGTGACTTTGTGATCCACCCTGAGCTTTGCTTTGCTTTGCTTGACTGGTCTTGTGACCCCTTGTTCTCCCCCACTTTGCCTATGGGTGTGTGTCAGAACATTATAGCTTATGCTGTTGTGTAGGCTATAGTGGGGTATCCCATAGGGTCTTGTTGCCGTGCCCTCCTCTGTCTATAGGCCAGAGGCAAGAGGTGGAGTAGGAGTAGTACCCTGGGAGCCGTTGGAGTTGCTCATTTCCTTTTGTGTAGCCATGCTGATTGATGTTGTCGGTATAGAAGTTGAATTCCCCCTGATTGCTCTCATACCATGTTGCACTGAAAAGCCCTTAGGATCTTTGCAGGGGTGAACTCTGGGTAGAGTTGGTGTAGTAGTGGAAGCGTTAATTAAAGGGTTGTGAACCACCTTGCGCTAGTATGTGAGGGCAAAGTAAGTTGATTAAAGCAAAGAGATACAGGATTATATAGGAGTACAAGGAATACGAAGAGATACGGTTATAACTACTTTACTGTTGCTGTTGCGGTTCGATACAGTGACGTCTCGGGCAACTGCTCTGTAGCGAGTCAGTTGTGTGTCCTTGCTGTCGTGCTGTACTTATCAGGTCAAGGGTCGCTGACCTTTGACTTTTGCGTAACCTCCGACGGTTACTTCAACCTCCGAGGGTTGACTCGCTGGTGCTTCGATAATGTTTTGCTTCGCTTGTGTCTTGGTGTTTCGACACGACAGAGGCGCTTAGGAACGATTGTTTCCAACATAGTGGACCGGTTGGACTCAATTTTGGTACGTACTCAACCCCACCTAAGATTGACATAAGACTGACCTGAGACTCACTTGAAATTCACTTGAGACTGACCTGCAACTGACCTGCTTGTGAATAGGAGCTTAACCCGAGGGCACAGGCTGCTGCAGAGCGTAAGAGAAGTGGCGCGAGTGAGTCCAAAGACTCGTTCGAGACTCACCTAGGACTTACCTGAAACCCCCTTGAAATTCACCTGAAAACTGACCTCAAACTGACCTGAAACTGACCTGAGACTGACATGCTTGTGACGCGCAGGTTGCCCCAAAGGCACAGGGTATAGCCGTTTCGTCCTGTAAACAGTGCGCTGGCAACATAGCGGAGAGGGAGGGCATGTCAAAGGGAGGTGATAATGCCTTAGTAGTCAGTGCACCCGCTGCCTGGGGGTAAGCATCTATGCTGGGGGTGAGGGGTGGGGGGAAGGGGAGGAAGGGGGGTAGGAAGGGAAGGGGAGAGTGTGGTGGTGCAAGAGCAGTGTGGCCGGGCCATAAGGGCCAAAAGCGAAAGGGAAGTGGCGGGAGTGAGTGCAGTGGGGTAGGAAGAAGTTAGCGGCGGAGTGACATGTGTGGAGTGGGGGAGAGGGGGGGAGGTTGACGGGGGGTTGAAGACGGAGGGAGCAGGAAACCAGAAAAGGGAGAAATGGCATGGTGGGAAGGGTAGTAGGAGGGCTCGGGCAGGCGGGCGTCACGTGAGCGATCATAAGGACAACCCGGAATCGTGAAGGTTCTTCCAGGCAAGGGGCACGTGGCACGCAGGCAGGCAACAAGTGGGGGTGCAAGAGACGCAGGAGCACAGCTGAGGGGGCAATCGTTACGTCTCCAGCAGCGGTGCAACTGGCGGTGGTGCAACGGCGGGTGCAAGGCGAGGCGCGGTCATCGTCCGGCTGGAGCAGTGATGCCTGCAGTACTACGCACCGCACTCCTTACAAGCTCAGCCATTCCAATCAGCCCGCGAGGATTGAATTTGCCAGGAGTGAGCTGCGGGACGGGTCGTGGCAGAGCCTGGTGCCATAGTAGGAAATTGGGGTAAGGAGACTTGGGTGAAGGGAGGGGTGGGAAAAGGAGAAAGGGAAAACGGAAGGGGATGCGGTTCATGGAGGGGGTAAGGGAAGGAGGGGTGGATTAGTGGAAAGGTAGGGGATAAAGGTAAGGGGAGAAGGTAACGGAAAGGGAATGGGGTAAGGGAAGGGGATGGGTGTAAGGCGAGGGGGAGGAGGGGAGGGAGAGAGGGCAAGTGTCAAGGCAGGTTCGCGGCGTCGCTTGTGTGTGGGCGATGTTGCACGCCCGAATAGGCCACGTGTGAAAGCAGAGAGGGCGTCACCTGACATTGGAATATCTGTTCGGAATAAGATGGAGTAGCGTTCGTAAGTTGAAAAGCGTGACGATGTTAGATTTTTGTTGATAAGCCTCTAGATGAGGCAAGCCATGAATACTCCCCATCACCAGCTGCCATCATCTGAGCTCTAACCGAGGGGATAATCAAGTCCTGAATTATAATATGCTTAATGTCCATCGTAACAACCTTCCGAAACCCCCTTGGCATCAGGATGTTGTAACCCTCATAAAAAGACTTCTCCGAAAACTTTCTTGGTCCTGCGAGCCCCAACGGGCAGCTCAAATAATCCAGCCGCAACTTCAAAATTGCAGATGTATTTTCCAGCCCCAAATCATTCCCTATGTAGTCCCGAAAGCCCGCAGCAAGAGGCTGACTCAGCGAAATGTTGATCTCCCGATTCAACTTTTCCGTAACGGTGAAATTCTCGCAGTGCTTCCAGTCAAGGCCATAGTTGGTGGTGTTGACGGCGACAACGTCGATGAGATTGTCGGTTTCCAGCCCGCTGCATGCTCCCGTGACGTCAGCACCTGGCTGACCTGGCGGGTTACATGACACGCCGCCATTGGCCGATGTTTCCTTGCAGACGTCCTTCATCGAAGGCCATAGCTGGATGTGACAATAACGAGGGGGGGAAAAGAGAGAGGAGATGGGAGAGATGGGAGAGAGGGAGGGGAGAGAGGAGAGGAGAGAAGGGAGACGAAGGGGGAGGTAAGGAAAAGAATACATTAGCTTTTATTGCACACATGATATGGAGGGGGGGTCAACGGGTGGGGGAGCAGTGATCACTTGGTAAGTTTGACCACATGTGACTTCACACTCTCTCACTCCTGAACATCTGCTCCTTTACTCTCACACACCCAGTTGATACGGTTGCTGTGTGTGAGGAACGAGGCTTAACGCCACCACAGGGGCACCATATGCACAGCCACTGGCACAGATATTCACAGGGATGCCTCCCAGTAGTAACAGCTCTCTTCATGTACTCGGTTGATATGGGTGCTGTGTAGTATTTCACTTGCATTGCATCCCAGTAGTCCCTTTCGGTACTTTTGAGGCGTCTCACATGTTGGATGTGAAGCTATGACATGTGCTCTTTGCTCACTTCTTGCTCTACTCTCACTCACGTGGTTGATGCGGGCGCTGTTGTAGTATTTCACGCGCATGGCCTCCGAGTAGTTGCCGGGGTCTTTGAGGCAGTTGTTGACGGTCACTGTGAAGCACGACGTCCACCCCAGCGATCTCCGCGTGCCTTTCATCACCACGTTCTTTATCACGTTCCTGCAGTCAAGATGGGGGAGGAAGGGGTGGACAGCAATACAGGGCAGTACGGCATCCGGAGTTGTTGTGCAAAGGAAACTGCTGAGGCAAACGAAAAGGGGGCCCTAAAGGGCGCAACTGAACATATGATTGCACACCACTGGATCTCCACAGTCCCTCCTCACCGCTTGCCGTTATTCACTTTCATGCCGTCATACGTATTCACGCACGCGCCTCCCCTGACAAGCACGCCTGACGTGCAATGGTCCAGATAGTAGCAGTGGTCGCCGTTGAACACGTAGTTGCACAGCGCTGAGTTCCCGGGACTGAACCAGTGCGTGTAGAAGTAGATCCCAGCCGAGTCGTGATCCCCGTTCAGGTTCCTCCCAGAGGAAACTACAAGGTTGGAGTTGATGCGAGAGAGCATGCACGCAAAGCTGTAATGCACGTCGGCACCGCACTTGATCCCTGCGAATATGAAGTGGTGCACGTAGTTGTTCCTGACGGTTACACCAACTGCTCTCCTGTGCAAGAGGATCGGAGTGTTCACCCCTGCAGTCAAGGGAAAGAAGGGGGGAAGAGTACAGAAAAGGAGAGTTCAACCACTAGGACAGTGGTAAATCCTTGCCGAGACTTGATCCCCGTTGTTAGAATAAACAAGGCTGGAGTTGATGCGAGTGAGCATGCAGTCACCGCTGCAATGCACATTGGCGCTGCAGCGCTGCAGTGAATCCCAACGATAACGTAGTTGTGAATGTACTTGTTGGTCATAGTGATGCCTAACGCCGCTCCCCTGTGCAAGACAGTCAGAGTGTTCACCCCTGCAGGCAACGGAAAGAGAGCGGAAGAGGGCGAAACGAGAAGAGGGGGCAAATGGGGGGATTTGACATAAGGAGAGGGGGGAGGGGATGGGTGCGGAGGGGAAATGACGAGATCAATTGGAGATGATGCGAGTAAGCATGCATTCGTTGCTGTCATGCACGCCAATGGTCATGGATGTAGATGCTGGTGACTGCTATGCCCTCTGCTCCCCTGTGCAGCACAACGGGGGTGTTCACCCCTGCAGGCAAGGAAAGAGGAGGGAGTGGATTAAGGGAAAGAGCAGGAAAGAGCATGGTGATGAGAAGATGTAGCCATGGATGTTGTTGTTTGTTATTGCTGTGCCCACTGCTCCTCTGTGCAAGACCATGGGGCAGGAGGGCAGGGGGAGAGTGAGGATAAGGGGGCAATGGGGAGAGAGAGGTTAAGGGGGCAGGCGGGACAGTGAGGACCATTCACTGACCTTCAATCTCATTGACTCTTGTTGACTCCCGTTGACTCTGGGAAGCATCCCACTCACTCACCGTACACCTCATTGTTGGAGATGACAATGTTGGATTTGAGAAGTCCCGGCCCGTACCCACACAGTGCCACTCGGATCATCCCAGGCGACCTTATAAAGGAAGCCACTCCGGTGACCGAGAGTGAGTCCAGGCACATGTCCATACTGCGTAGCACGTCCACTCGCCCAAAGATGTTGCCCTGGGGAGGAGAGAGGTAGACGGGATAGGGGGTAGCTTGGAGGCATGCGGGAGCTTGAGACGACGTGTGGGATGAGAAAAAGAGAGAGAAAACACTCCAGTGAGCGTTAGTGAGTCCAGCTGCACGCGGCATGGCCATGCTCCATTGCACGCCCACTGGGCCAAAGACGGTGCTGTGAGGGGAAGAGAAGGAGAGGGAATGGGGATGAGAGTGGAGGCACGTGGAAAGATGAGGAGCTGGAAGACATGTGGGTGTGGGTGTGGGATGAGACGAGTTTATGGTGCTCCATCATCTCACCACCACGTCCACCGGAAGAATCGAGACAACAGAACTTTTGTGAGTCTTGGCGCGTGCCTGTTCTTCTCACCACGTAAATTGGGCCAAAGACGGTGCCATGTGGAGGAGACGGGCTGGCATGCGAGATGGGAGAGGGTGGAGAAGGGAAGCACATGTGAGAGACATCTCGCTTCTATGCTTGCCTCAAACATGACAAACAAACAAACACGCTTAAAAAACAAGACACGGATAAAATCATGAGTGACATGCGAAAGGAGCGCAACAAGCAGATGGAATGGAGGGACTCACCTTGTCAATCTGCACGCCATATGATCGATAGATCAAGACTGCGTCGCGGGGCACGCCACTCCTTGCCCAGCTCTGCCACTCCCTTGCCTAGCTCTGCCACTCCTTGCCCAGCTCTGCCACTCCCTTGCCCAGCTCTGCCACTCCCTTGCCCAGCTCTGCCACTCCTTGCCCAGCTCTGCCACTCCCTTGCCCACCTTTGCCACTCCTATGCCCAGTTAGTGGTGCTCTCTGTCACCGGCACGTGATATTTCATGTTCAGTGACACTCAACTCACTGCACGCAAGCAGTCAAAGTACGTGGAGGTGCATTCGGGAATGCTCTCCGTCACTAGCACCTTATAATTCACGTTCATCAACAGAGGTGTGGATAAACGACAAGGAAGGGAGAGTGAAAAGCAGGTACAAGGGAGGGGCTCACCTTGCCAATCTTCACGCCGTAGGACCGATGGATGGAAATGGCAGGGCAGGTGACGGCCTTGCCGAGCTCGGGCACGGTGGTGCAGTTGGGGCTGTTCTCCGTCACAGGTAGGCGATAGTTCACGTTCAGCGACATGACTTTACTCGTATTCCACACGCACAGCACCGGATACATAGGGTTACCACCCGTCACCGTGTAACCGGGCCATTTTGCCAATATGAGTATCGTGCAAGACTGCTGCCTCCCGAACAAAACCACTTTAGGCAGCATCAAATCCTTCTGTAAATGCAGAATAACGGTGGCGGTGGGCGGGAGAGAGGCCCTGGCTGCGAAATCAGCGGCCGACTTGACTCGGACTATGAAGACTCTCTTGAGCCACATACTGCATGGGCCTTTCAGGCACTTCTCAGACAGCTGGTACCCTACGGCTATAGCGGCCCGTTGCAGGGAGACTGGCCCGATAATCACCCTCTGCTGCCTCCTCCTCCTCCCTTGGGCTTGCAGCCTGGCTACTCCGGTTGTAGCAGTAGCAGTTGTGTAACCAGCTGTGGCAGCAGTTGTAGCAGCATTTGTAGCAGCAGCCCATCTGAGAGGGAACTCGAGGACAAAGGATTCGCCTGACGCAGCAGCGGCAGCCACAGCAGTGAAGAGCGGCGGGGGCTAACTGTCCCTCTCACGCTGCTGCCGCACCAACTCAGCCCGATGCAGCATGTCACGTTCGTCGTGACTGTATCCGTGGTTGGGAGTGTACTGGATGTGACTGTATTGAGACGGAGTTTGGCTGAAAGAATTGCCATGTGGGCTGGTTGTGTGATAATGATGGTGGTGACCCATGCTTGATGCGTGGTGCCTCATTGATGCTGAGTGTTGCTCTGTGATTGTAACGGGGAAGGAGAAGGATGAGGGGGAGGGGGGAGTGTGGGGGAAGTGGGGCTGCAAAGAAAGGGAGAGGGAGTGTGATTGGCATGGAAACCCTTCGGTGGTAGCTGAAGCTGTTTCAAACAGAAATCCCATTGTTTTCTTTGGGTGCTTCTGATTCTATCAGGTGATCTTATGTTAACTTGTTTTGGGTTTATATCTCACCATGCCTTGAAACGGGCGAAGTTGACCACTAATAGTAGTGCCTCGAAACGTGTCAGCATGCCTTATAACGCGTACCTCGTCATGCCGTATAACGCGCACCTCGCCATCCCTTAACGCGTACGTGACAATGCTTTGCAACGCGTACCTTTGCGATGGCTTCGAATGCGTACCTGACCATGTCGCCACAGCGGTCCGCGAAGACAGGCTCGATATGACGAAGAAATTTCCGTAAATTGTGAAGGCATTATAGGTTGTCATTCTCTCGGAAGCCGCAGTGCGACCGACTTTTCTTCTTCCGGGCATCCGCAAGATTCCCGCAAGTTAGATAATGAACAATACGGTAGATTCCATGACGGAAATCGACGCTGCAATGGAAAATAAGTTAGACTTGAATGAAAAAGGAAGCCCGCAGCTGGAGAAATCCTAACTGGCATGAATTGGGCAATTTCGCAAAACACTACTGACGCAAGACGCTTACTACTACAACAATCAGTTGTCCAGAACGTTGCGTGCTTTACCATTTTACACGTTAGGGCGAAGTCAGGTTATACAATTCTCACGCGTTTACAGTTCTTGTTTTGTGGTTCAGGATGGTCCATCAAGGCAAGAAGCGGTTCTCGCCTCGTACCGCTCTGCACTGTGTTGAAACAAAGTTAAACGCAGTAGGCGTACAGAAGGTTGTACAACCTGACTTCGCCCTATCTCAGAACAACGCCATAAAGGTATGCATTGGTGCAAGACATGAAACATGGCTGACAAATGCTACCAGCAGAATTTTCTCGCTTGGGGTGTTTGGTGGAAAGAAGTGGCGACGGCGGCGTTATTCGCCAGCACTTTTAACAAGAAAAATGACAGGATCAGGAAGGTCAGCCTCAGCTTCCTGATCCCGTGCGTTAGGGTTCGTTAGGGTCCGTCAAGCAGGTCAGCACGCGAAATTCTTGCCGAGCCTATGATTTCGTCCGAACCAAACGGAATCATGTTGTCCTGTCGAACGCCCTCCTTTTGATTCATTTCGAATGGAATCGTGAAGGTAGGAAAGTGGGTCGGGAGCTTCCTCTACAGGCAAACATTGGTCCCATTGCCATTCCATCGCCATTCACCCCCCCAAGCAAAATTGCCTTGGGCGATGTTCGGCAGCACAGAGGATCCACCGAGGGATGATGGGGGGGATCGAAATTCTCAGCTAGGGTTTCTAGTTCGGGGTGGTCAACTCGGAGTCAACCAGCGTTGACTCCAAGTCGGGGGTCCAAGCGCAAGCGGAACCTTTGGGGGAAAAGGCGCGGATGAGTGACGCGAGAATTGGGGGCCCACGAAACTGCAGCTGCACGAAACGAAACTTCGCGAGCTGGACAGTTTTTCTTCTCCCTGCCTCATTTTACTGTTGCGGTGGGATTGGGTGTATCACTTCCCGAAAAAAATTAACACCATAAATTAAAATGGATGCCCTTAATGTCGTACTCACCCATTTGACCTTATTGAATACAACTGGATTAGGGATACATTTCTGATATCCATTTTACCCATCAGTTTAGAGTGTGGGGTAAAATCATAAAACAATTTCGTGGTAGAGGGAATCCATTTTACATCCCTCGTGGGTGAGGTCACTCATGGGAGTGCAATTTGGATTCTCTGGGCACTAGGGCGGAATTTTTGCGCCATGGGGGAGGTTTTGGGGGAGGATGCGGTGCGGGTTACAACCTAGCATGGTGTTCGCGTCGCGTTTTAGGCTTACGTTCGACATTTTTTTCACATTTTTCTAGCCTGACCGAAGTGTTTTGCCTAGTTCGTACTGGTCGAGCCTGGAGGCTCGCCATTTGGATCCCCCTTTCAACCCCCTCCCCTGGCTTTGGAATGGCCATGGGATTGGAAGGATGTGGAGGGGGGGAACGGGGAATTGGAAGGTGGGGAGGGTGGTTCCTGATCCCGATGCCACCCTTCCCCTTTATGGCATGAAATTTCGCGATTTGGCCATTCCCCCCACACCTATTCGGGAGGTTCCTCCTCTGGTCCGTGATTCCACGGCTATTCCGTGGCCTTTCGTTTTTTAGAAGTGCTGGCGAACAGCGCCGGCATGACAGTTTCGTTTCGCGATAAGACGAAAGTTCGCGAAAAGTGCACGAGTCTCGCGAATTATTATTTCGATGAAGCAAGGCAACATCAAGGAGGAAACTGGCGATGGTTTGTGGGGCGGTGGGAAGGTGTTGGAGGAGCAGCAAAAGTACTATACACCTCAAACTAAAACAAACAAGCTTGTGCTCACCACTGTGTCAGGACACAGTAGAGGAATATTACGATGGTGACAAAAAGCGCCTGGTCAAAAGAAATGCTACTCACATCACCTCGACAAAACTAGTACCAACGGCGGCGCCGTGTTCCTTCAGTGTCATCCGTACAATATTCCGCGCATCGTTTCCCCTTGGTTTTTCCCGAGCCGCCGTCTCTTTGCCTACCTTCCTAGAGATCGAATTACTGCGCCGCTGCTAAGTCACTTCGAGGGCCGCAGAAGTGTGATAGTCTTAGAAATCCTAAAAGAGGTAAGCTCCACTTTTAGTTTCCCCCAGTCAGCCCTCTGCATTGCGGGGGGGGGGGGGGGGGGGGGGGGGGGGGGGGGGGAGGGGGATGTGCAACTTTAGGTTACATACCGAGTCGCTACGAGGTCTGGACAACCTATGAACTAGCAGAGCCCCTTGATGCAGTCTTGTCCCACTCAGCGTTGTTGTTCCAGGCCCTTCCCGTGCTGCTTTTCCTTGCCATCGTTGATACACCCACGCTCTCACTTATCCGGGCTCTAGCCGACCTGCCCTGTGACCCACCGCAGCGTGTGACCAACCTAGGCGGTGACTGACCCAGCCCGTGAATGGTCTTACTGTTACTGACCAGGCTTGCCTCACCTAGCCTGTGACTGACCTGGACATGTGCACAGGGCGACTCAAGTCTACTCTGAGTCGACTCAGCTCTGACCGACCCGAGTTAACTCGCGAGTCGAGGTAGGACTGACAAGGCCGAGATAAGGGCTGGGACAAATATGAATGACAAGGCCGACAAGGAACGACTATTAACCAGATCAGGCCGAGATTGGACCACGAAAATGAGAGATTCAGTTGTTGAACGACACGTTGCTTGACACAGGTAAATGTCGGAGACAAGCTAGTCGAGTAGAGACTAGTCAGGTGTGCTGTTTCGAATCACCAACTAGGCGAGTGCCAACTTGACAAATGTCCAGCCGGGTCGGGCGATGAATTGTATGTCAAGCCAACTAGACTCAGCGTGACAAGAAATCAAGAGACCACCTGAGTCGATCGAGTCGAGTCAAAACTCTACTCGCTGCTTGTATGTAACCTCGCGTGCAGTTGACCTGGCCTGTGGCTGACCGGCTGTTGTGAGTGACCCAGCCTATGACTAACCCTGCTTGTGTCTGTCCTAGCTATAAGTGACCCACCTGTGGCTATTGTAGCCTAGGACCAATCTTACTTGTGTCGAGCCAACCTTGTGCTTGACCTAGCCTGTGAGTGACCTAGCCTGTGAATGACCTAGCCTGTGAGTGACCTAGCCTCTTAGTATCTCAGCCTCTGAGTGTCTTAGCCCCTGAGTGTCTTAGCCCCCAACTAACCTAGCCCCCAACTAAAACCCCCACCCCAACTGACCTAGCCCCCAACTGACCTAGCCCCAACTGACCTCGCCCCCAACTGACCTAGCCCCAACTGACCTAACCCCCAACTGACCTAGCCCCAACTGACCTAGCCCCCAACTGACCTAGCCCCAACTGACCTAACCTCCAACTGACCTAGCCTGTGAGTCTGTGAGTCTAGATTAGGGTAAAGAGAGCGGTTTTGAAATTCCTTCTGCGCAGAAGTCTTGTGTGGATACGACATGCCGCAGCGGCTATGCAAATGAGCATGGGGCTATGTGCTCCTTTGCCTCATAGAACGATGATCGCATATTCTCATTCACGTGCCATAGGAGCTACAGTGCCTCACCTTTCCCTCTTGCTTTCAACATCTCTCTCCATTTGCGTCTGCCTCTACTGACCTCTCTTCGCTCCACCTTTAACTAGTCCAGTGTTTCTCACTCCCTATCCATGTTTCAGACGG